TTTTGATGAGTTTGCTGTCAAACTACGTTCCGTTATCAGTAACTATTGCTCTTGGAATGCCAAATCTGGTTATGATGTTTCTCCATATAAAGTTCTTGACGTCCACATCTCGGATTTTGGCAAGAGGTTCTGCCTCTATCCACTTCGTAAAGTAATCTGTTGCTACCAGCAAGTATTTTCTCTGCCCAGTTGCTTGGGGAAGTTGCCCAACAAGATCCATGCCCCATTGGGCAAACGGCCAAGGGCTGGATACTGGGTTCAGTTCCGCAGCTGGCTGATGTATCAAAGGTGCAAACCTTTGGCATTGTTCACACTTCTTTACGTAGGCTTCAGCATCCTTTTGCATGTAGGGCCACCAATATCCCTGGGTAATGGCCCTGTGGGCTAATGATCTGCCCCCAACATGGCTTCCACAATTTCCTTCATGAATTTCATATAGGAAATCTTCAACCTGCAAAGGGTGTACGCACCTTAAAAGGGGTCCAGTGAAGGACCTTTTGTAAAGACGTCCATCTTCTGTCAGACTGAATCTTGCAGATTTCAATCTGACTTTGTGTGTCTCCTTACGATCTTCTGGCAACTTTCCTTCTTTCAGGAATGCAACAATTGCATCCATCTAGCTTGGCCCCATGTCCACACACATTGCTTGCTACTTTGTGCTCTCTGGTTCTATGCTCGGGCCCGACATATAGTCGATCACAATTGTTCTTGTTTTTTTAGTCTGCATTGAACTTGCCAGGTTAGCCAACGCGTCGGCGTGGGTGTTGTCATCTCGGCTGACTTGGAGTAGTTAGCAATTCTGAAATAGGGCTGCCAATCTGATGACCTCTTTTGCATATGCCGACATCCTTTCGTCCCTGGCTGCAAATTCACCTGTTGACTGGTTAACAATAAGTTGTGAATCACAAAAAACTATTACCTCATCTGCTTCTGCTGCTGCTGCCAGTTTTAGCCCCGCAATTAATGCTTCGTATTTCGCTTCATTGTTTGAGGCCTTGAACCCCAAACGGATGGACTGTTCTATTATTTCTCCATCTGGAGATATCAGCAGTACTCCTACCCCCACTCCTTGTCGGTTCGAACTTCCATCGACGAACAATCTGAATGAATCGTCGATGTAGATGCTACAGGGTCTGAGTTTTTCCTTCCTTTGCTCTTTTGCCTTTGGCTGGGATTCTCCTTGCTTGCTGGGACAATGCTCATCCTGGCTCAACGGAGCCCGATGTTCGATTATTTTGGGCGTGAATTCTGCCACGAAGTCGGCTAAAACTTGGCCTTTAATTGCTGTTCTCGGCCCGAACACCAGATCATACTGGCCCAGGGCTACTGCCTATCTTGCTATCCTTCCTGTTAAGTCTCCTTGTTGCAATAAGGACTTTAGTGGGTGCTCTGTTAGGACCACAATCTTGTGTGCCTGAAAGTAATGGTTCAATTTCTTTGAAGCCATTACTAAGGCTAGCATTAATTTTTCCAGTGGTAGATACCTTGTTTCTGCATCGGCCAAGGTTTTACTTACATAATAAACAGCCTTTTGCTCCCATTTTTCTTCTCGGATTAGTACTGCACTGACTGCGTGTTCTGAAACTGCCAAGTACAAAAACAGTTCTTTCCCTGGTTCTGGGTTGGAAAGAACCGGAGTGGTGGTCAAGTACTTCTTTAGGTCAGTTAAAGCGGCTTCGCATTCTTCTGTCCACAGAAAGTCTGTGGCTTTTTTCACCAAGTTGAAGAAGGGTCTGCATTTATCTGAGCTTCTGCTGATGAATCTGTTTAGGGCTGCGGCCCTTCCAGTAAGCATCTGAACCTGTTTTGCCGACGTTGGGCTCTTCAGCTCTAGGATGGCCTTGATTTGGTCTGGGCTGGCCTCAATGCCCTTTCTTGTTACCAGATGCCCTAAAAACTTACCTGATCCAACTCCAAACGCGCACTTTGATGCGTTGAGTCGGAGCCAGTATGTTTTAAGTATATCAAAGATTTCTTTTAGGTCGGCAAGATGACCCTTAGATTCCTTGGTCTTCACAACCATGTCATCGATGTAGACTTCTACCATTTTGCCAATCAGGTGCTTGAACATCTTTGTTACTAACCTTTGGTAAGTTGCTCCTGCGTTTTTCAACCCAAAAGGCAGTACCTTGTAACAGTACAAGCCTTTAGGGGTGATGAACGCGGTCTTCTCCTTGTCTGGAGGGTACATGGCAATCTGGTGGTACCCCCTGTATGCATCCAAAAAACTCATCCTTTCGTGCCCTGAAGTTGCATCTACTAGCTGGTCAATCTTGGGCAGAGGAAAGCTGTCTTTGGGGCAGGCTTTGTTGAGGCTAGTAAAGTCTACACAGACCCTCCATTTGCCATTCTTTTTTTTCACTACTTCTGTGTTGGACAGCCATGTCGGGTAGTGAACTTCTCGGATGGCCCTGGCCTCCAGAAG